AAAGTCATTGTTATTAAAAATACAAGGTTACTAGTAAAAAACAAAATAAAATGAATAAAATAAAAACGCGGCAAATTTATTATCACTGTTTTATTTTTCAGGAATAATTGACATTGAATAACCTTGAATAATTTTCTCGAATATTCATGACCCTGAATAAAGCGACCGCCTCCTGGTCACCACGCTTCAACTTTGTGTTGAACATTCAGGCAAACATTTAAGATGATTGTTCAGTTTGTGCATGAATCCTAATTATAAAAGGCAGGATGTGTGTGTGTGTGTGTGTGTGTGTGTGTGTGTGTGTGTGTGTGTGTGTAACGAATGCACGGCCACAATTTTCGACGGATTTGCACCAAAATTTACATGCACATGCTCCAAGTTAGCGGAAAGGCCAAGACCGACCTTGCATTTCCCAACTCCCATCGATAATGGAAATAATTGATTTTTTCATGCTTTTACGGCAGTTTTCGGCCATTTTCTACTGACCAGAGTGAGAGCCTATAGCTGGCTGCCACGAATAGGCAGGAAGATTCTATTGGCCAGCGTGAGAGCCAACAGCTGATTGACACGAATGTTAACTAGCATGCAAAAAAATTGATAGCGGCATTCGTCACAAGTGGGAAAAATTTAAATCTGCATGGCACTTTACTCCAATTGGCTCATTCGCTTGCTTAAACTCAACGTTGATTCTGATTCCGCAGAACTGGGTTGGGTGTGAAAAAGTATTTGTTATTAACATTCTTTTTTTCGTTCGGTTTTTCCAGTTACGAGTCCTTTTTTAAAACTGATCGTTTTGTGTTCATTTTGTTTAGTTCTTTTTTCGTAACAGATTCAATGTTTAGTTTAGAGCTTAGAAAAAATTCGCAGTGTGAGATAGGCAAGAAGTAAGGCATGTAGCAACATCAGCACGGCAAGGGCACTCCTTTAAAGGCAAGGAAGGGCAAAAATATTTTAAGACAAGTGATAGCGATTACTGTATGAGTCGTACAATTTTTGAATCAAGCACGGGCAACGCCGGGCCATACTGCTAGTAGCTAAATAAATTTCTTTCAGAATTTACCGATTTTTTAACTTGGCACCCTGTTTAGGTGCGTTAGTATTTAGGGTAATATATTCACCTTGCTTGTTATATTCACAACGTTTCGGGCGTTCTACCTTCCATCTTCCTTCAGGTTATTTGATAACACCGTCATTTTTAAATACCTCTATTATTCAATCTACAGATTATTCCGACGCCATTGTTCAAGCTTAGGGGTTATTTCATATCAGTTAATACTTACCGGTCTTAATTATTGATAAAGTTTTCGATTCGAAATCTGAGAGAGTTACGACTCGTTAAGAAGGCCGGAGAGTAAACGGCCCAAATATTGTTTATAACAACCAGGATGAGCAGGATGCTACAAATAGTAAGTCATAAAATAATGATAAATCCGCATCTGTAAAATTCTTATATAAATTATATTTTATAAGTTATTTCTATTCCTCAAGTCTTGTGTACCACCGATGAACAAGATGAATACTTCAGAATTGCTTTTAAAAAGGTTTCTCACGAAAGAGGAAACATAGAAAATAATGGCGCTGTTGACGAGGGTAATTTACTCGTTGTGGCTTTAGTTTCCTTTTTGATGCAAGCCAGACAATGTTTACAAGGATTTAAGCTGTGGCGATGGCGGTTGTCGTCAAATGTTCGGTCAGGGAAAAGTTTACGAAAGGAAAAGCTGGGCTCTAAACGAATTAAGAGCGGAAATGGCTGATGAGTGAAATTTCAAAAGTGATTATTGTCGAATGTAGAAATAGCGAAAGACTTTGCTATTTTAGGGTTAGTGTTAGTTTCGTTTAGTTTTGTTGAGTTAAGCGAAGAAACAGTTTTTGGTGCTCCAAATACAAGAATATAATTTTTTGTTTCGAAATGATGAAATAACACCTATTTTATAATTAGATTTAATTACTTTATTGGTTTACTTTTTAATTACTTCGGATTATTTCTTACTTATTAATTAATTCTGAATTAAAACTGTATGTAAATTACTTTATAATAAAAACATATCAAATACTGTATTATTATCAATTATTAATCACTTTTACATTTAAAACTAAGGCGTATTATGACATCTCTGTTGGATGGTAATTATTCGAGAAATCTTTTGTGACCGATTTGACTATGTATTATTATTATTTTTATTATTATTATTATTATTATATTTCTTTTAATTTCTGGTGTATGAACATTTCTTTCCGGGTCCCACCCAAAGACCAAAGGGGGAAATGGCATTTTCCACTGACCAATCCGAAAAAAAAACAAAAAAAAAAACGAAAAACAAAAACAAACAAACAAACAAATATTTTCCATAGATAAATCCCTTCGTAAGGTGTGGGCTGTACTCGGGAAGACAATTTTTTGTATTTCTTTAAGGCATAGGCTTCCAGGAATTCCTTAAATGTGTCTACTAGAATATTTTCCAACCAATCTGAGGCGCTCCAGCTACAACAGAAATTGCTGATGTTCCCATGTGCCACATTTCTGGAATTTCGATTTCATTTATTATTATTATTATTAAATAATAAAATTGTTAGTGTTGTTTACCTAATCCACTACTCGTATTTTCATGCCGCTGTGGCAATCTTCATGTGGAAATTAATAATATATATAATATTGACGTTCCAAATATCATGGTGTATTTTTCCTTTTTCTATCTGCTATCAACATTCTATGATCTGCCTATCTTGTATGCCTTCCTATTTTTGTATATTTATTGAAATCATTTTCTATCTGTATGCAGCTGGCTCTCAGAATAAGTCCTGGATTATTTTAATATTCTTCCCAAATATTTCAATGTTGTCTCGAAGTTCTAACCGTTCTTTGTGAAGTACTTGACCAGAGACATTTGCATAATCTACAAAACAAAAATACACATTCTTCTGCATTTCTATTGCTCTTTCTGCTATTATTATGAGCATAAATATTACATTCCTTCTTTCAGTGTCTTTCACGAAAAACGCATTTTTATTGTTCTATTTCCAGTCTACTTATACTGCGTTCTCTATTCAACAGAATTCGAATGGTAAGTTTTGGTTTGCTTGATGGCTTATTAGATTGATTGATCGCTCACATTTGTTTGCACCTGCTTTCTTAGACAGTTTTATGAATATGGATTTACTTAGGTCTTTCGATGTATTTTATTTCTTATGTCAATTATTTTGCCAATGCCGAATTGTTCTAAGGCTGCGAGCATCTCTATTAAAATGTTTTTTTTTCTGGCTTTACTGCTTTGTTTTTATTTAATTTGTCAAGTATTCATTTCACTTCAGATTTTAATATTTCTGGTCCTTCGATATTTTTATGTATTGCCGGTTGTCCTCTTTCCTCCGTTGTATTGTTTCGATCGATGAAGTATTTTTTCTCTAATATCATTGTCTCGTCCTTAGATTTTATGCATCTTGTCGATTCTGTCCTGTTATTTCTCTTATTATTTAGGCATATCTGCTTACTATGATGAAGTTGATGAAAATCTACTTTCAGTCTTGAGATTGTTTTGTCTGATTCCTTAACTGAAAAGATTTCCTGTAGCTTTTCATGTTGAGAATGGCTGCCAGATTTCCACTCATCTCTGCGTCTATGCCTTCGAAATCAGTAGCTTTAGCAGAATTTTTACTCCTCTTGATTGTGGTTTCTCAATAATTCCTTGAGATGATGACTGTTATAGAACTCTCGTCTCATTGGTTCTTTCTAAATGCGGTTAATTGCAGATTATGTTTTTTGCGCGCTTCATATTGGAGAATATATGGAGGCAATTTAGGATGGAATGTCTATCAATTTGGAACCTTGACTTGTCTACACTGCATAGGCTCATTTGCAGACTACATTTAGCGACCTTTGAGCTGAAAACAACGTGTTTATTTATATCAAAATGCGTATATAATTTGTAAAATGCATGCTCGAAATACATTAATAGAATAGATTTCCCGCTTCTTTTCCTTTCTTTCTTCACTTCATTGCATGTATAGTCTAACTGATGAGCGATGATGCAGCAAAACAGTTTGTTTGTGCATGACTATATACACCCCATCTCGTAACACTTTGGAAGAAAGGGAATTTGTTAGCTGTTATTATTAACGCTAAAAGCTCTTCGCTCTTAATTGAGCATTCTGGTAGACGGAAATGCTTATATCTCGTATAAAAGGTGTTAAAAATTTCCCTTTTCTCCGCTGCGTGAGCTGATGGCCTACGGGTGAGGGTATCCGACTGATATCAAATCAGTCGGGTTTCGAACCTGGTATGAAATAATCGCATGTCTCGCTACACTGATGAGCAGCGAAATAGTCTGTCTGTGAAAGCTTAGATTATATTAAAAAAATATGGATCAATATTGTGAATTTCTTTCTTCTTTTAGTGATAATGTTATCAAACTTATCAGATGTTACGAACAAATTTTACATAAAATAAATAGACAACACTTTTCTATATTATTTAATGAAACGTGTATAAATGAAAATATGCTGCCTAAATACACACAATATATATATATATATATATCAAAGTGAACATTGAAGTCAACACTTAGATGGCCTGACGATTGTGTCTAGCATGAAACAGCCTGTCGCTTTTATGTTTAGACACGCTCTATCACTGATATTGAGCACTTTACCCCATTATAGCACAACTTAAGACTATATATCTTCATATATATATGGTAAATGACAATGTGGAGGAAATTTTGTGTAACGCGTTTGATTTTCTTGAAGAACTTCATCGAACAAAAGCAATTGTTAATGGAATTCTGTATGTGTAAGAAAAAGAAGAGGATATAATTGCCGGTTATAATTATGCACCAGGAGGAAACTCTGAAGATTCAGGAATATTGAAATTGTAGATTTAAAATCCTATTCATGATATCAATTACAATATCAATAAGGGAATTATATCACCTCATTGGATAAAGGAGCTGGAATTGTTAATTTGTACAGGGACACATACAATGATCATATTAAATTAATACCCA